TTGCAGCTGCTATGTCTTCTGAAGACCAATGCGTCTTTTTTTGCGAAGGATTTAGAAGCATTTTTATTTGTCCCGGGGTAAATACTAAGCTCAATATTTTCCGTATAGTTTTCTGTACATTAATTTTTTCTTTTCTTTTTTGTTTAGCAAGTTTACACTGTAAAGTTTTGATTTTTGTAACTCCGACTCAGCACAATTTTTTCTTAACTCTTTTATTTCATCAAGCATTTTTTATTTCTCAGACATATTAGTTTTATCTGCAATGTTACAAATATAGTCGCGATATTATTTATTTATTTATTATTATTAGTATTTTTGCTTTTTTATCTTTTTTTTAAATTAAATTCGTATTACCTTATTATTGTTTATAAAGGTAAACATTAAAATAAATATTAAAAAATATATGTATTAGAACAACTTTATATATAATTATTATATATAATTATTTAAAAAATATATTTTTTTATTTATTAATTAATTTATTTATTTATTTTTATTTATTTATTTATTTTATTACTATAATTTACTATTTATTTAATTTATTATTAATAAATAAATTAATTTTATTTATTATTTCTAGAAATGTAATGTTAATAAAATTTATATTAACAAGTTAATTAATTATTTAAATAATTCATACTAAAAATTAATGAATTTCCTGAAGTCGAAGCTTCTATCTGCTCTTCAGGCACTGTTATATAATATAATTTATTTTTTATAATATAATTTTTTTGATGGTGAAAAGTTGCTTAAAAGTGGTTCCATCCAATATATTTTCAAATCTATTTCCATAACATAATTTATAATAACTCACCAAAAATTGGATTTGAAAATATATTTTCATAACATAATTTATAATAACTCACCGAAAGTTGGATTTGAATTCCTGATCGTCATACAAAACAATGATATTTAAATAATGTTGTAATCTTGGCCTTTTGCCGCAAATTACTTTATTTGCATTTATTGATAGTTCGTCATCGCTCTCAGAATCACTCTGATCATCAGACGAATCCACAAAATCATTGATAATTGCAATTAATGCGTCATTGTTCATTGCCATTCTTCTGCTATTTTTATTTCTTGTTCGTAATCCTAGGGTATAGTAATATATTAATTTGAATCAAAATTCAAAGTTTCCGTTGAAAGAGGCACATTACAATTTTTTTAGCATTAGAAATATAAACTTCACTTACAAGTACATACAAACTTCAAAAGTATATCTACGATACTAAATTTTAAAGGCTTCTGCTTCCTCGCTGAT